GTGAAAGAAAGACGGATAAGAAAGGAGATAATTATGCAAGCAAATATAAGTAAGAGAGATAAAAAAACAAGATATGCTTTTAGTGAGGCACAGTTGAACTTATTATAAGTCTTTATTGTCTTATCATTTGTATTTCCTTTGGCTAGCTTTTGTAATTCAGAATAGACTACTTTCCTTTTAATTTAAATTTGATCTTTTTCCTTTTATTTTTATTTCAATGCATTCTGTTTTAAACAGGTGGAAAAAGCTGTTCGGAGCTAAATACCTTCCTCCTCTGTTTTTATTTGCAGTTTACCTAAAGTATCTAAATCTTTTTTTCTTGACAGAAACTGTTGACGCAAAGAATTAGAGAGAAGTGGCCTCTAGTAGTCGCTCAAAAAATGGTATTTAAAGCATAAAACAAACTTAGTTCAATAGACCTTACCAAAGAACATTTATAGGCCTTTCTTTCGGCGTGGTTGTCACTAGTAAAAATTTTTCGGTAGTTAAAAAACCGTCACAACAGTTCATCAATGAACGAACTCTCTATTACTCAGAATCAGCTGGCTTAAAGGGTGCCTTTATAAACCATGCACTTAAGTGGTCTAATAGCTAAAAAAAAGTTACAGATTATATTGTCCTTGTAGGCTGTACTAAGTCTATTATACATCGAATAAACACGGAAAGGATTTCAGGAATACCGCCACCGTGTGTTTGAACGATAGAACAGCGCAGCAACTGAACAGCTTAACTAAGATACTATTGTGCAATAACGAGTCATCAGCGACCACCAAACTCTGTCAAAATCTGGTAGATGCCGTACGAATTGTCAAATGGCTGCCGTTGCACGATACGTAACATATTTGGTTTGTTGTCAGAAATGTTGTACAGAAAAAGAAAGAGAGGAAATTAGAAACAAAAAAAAAGTGGCATTAGTTCGCTGAAATTTTTTTGGTAATAGCAGTACAGTGATCAGTTTTGTTAAACCAAGCAGATTCCTTTAGTGAACAACAATCATTTACCGCACAAGTAATGAAAATTCATCCAAATTTTTGGGCATTCAATAACGCATTCAGTCAGTCAGCCAGTCATTCAGTTAGCCAGTAACTGCTTGTCGTTATAACAATCTAAATATAAATCTTTTCCTTAGCGTAAAAAATATCAATAAAAATAAAAACGGGGAAGGGGGAAGGGAGGGGAGGGTGGGGGGGTGAGGATAGAAAAAAAGCACATTCATACTACTAAAAATTTTTTCCCGTTCAGTTCAAAAAGAAAAAAAAAGAAACAGAATAACGAAGTTTAGCTGAACAAATCATCTTCCACAAATAAATTAAAATAAAAAAAAAGAGGGGAAAGAAGAATCAACTTCTAATATTTTACTTGCAAACTTCTGCAGCTGAAGGAACCAATTTTTTTGTTCGAAACAGATGACTTTAATTTGAAAAAAAAAAGTTTTGCAGATTTTTTTAAATGTTTAACAGAAATATATAAAGTTTATTGCGCTTGCGTTTATAATTTTGTCGGTCTACTGAATAATTTGAATTAAAGTAAACGACATCAATTTTCTATTTCTGTAAGATAACTGCAACAGCAACTTCTTAGGCAGTTCCAGAAAGAATGCCCTTTCAGCAAACCTTGTTGTCTAGTTTGAAAATCCTTGATAAAGCAATCCCCAAACAGGTTAATACGAGACGAAAGAGCCTCTGATAGATTATGCAGAAGTAATGTGGAACGTAACAGAGTTTTCAAAAGCTGACTAAAGAACATAAAATGTGTTTAAAATAAAAAGAAACAATGAAGTAACTTAATGTTTTGTTTGGTGCAAAAATCAGCATGATAGTGCCTTAGATTGCTTCAGCAAAAATTGAACCTTAATTACACTTATGGTTTGTATATGTACACATAGGAACAGTGTAGTCCTGGAAAAGTGAGAGAAAAATTAAGTATTTTAATAGGGTTCTCAGCAAAAAAGAGAGCCAAAGATCAAAAAAGATCAAGAGACTTTTCATTAAAGTATTTTAAACAAAGAACAAAAACAGACTTCCTTCATTGATGCCCAACATGAAGGACAATGAAGTCTTCAAAAGAAAATAAATAGAATACGGAACAAAAAACACAAAAAGGTTGAGCATCTGGACTGATAAGTGATTATGTTACGTCGAATGTCGAAAGTTTTAGATCATGTTTCTTCTTCAATTTACCAATTTTGCCTCCCTATTCTATCTTCATCTTAGTTAGGCTGATTTACAGAAAGAATTAACCACTAACGTACACAAAATTTTCAAAATTCACTTAGAGCATATCAAAAGTTTGATCAAAAGGAGCTGAAACACTGTTCCACAGCTCTGAATGATTAAAATATAAGTGAGTTAAATGTGCATTAAATAATCATTTGAGTTTGTCTGATTAACACTTTTATTATTGTTTTGCAACTGTGTACCACAAGTAATTTGATTTATTTGTGAGCGTTTTTCAGTCTATTGCAAATCAGGTGCAAATTAAAAAAATCAAGCTCAGTTATTTTTTTTCCTGTCATCTTGAACACCATTAATATTATCATCATTATCAATGTTAATATTATTGTCAATTAAAAAGTAACCAAAGCCCTCGCTTTAGGTTTTTTTGCGTGACAACCATAAGTTTGAATATATTGATAAAGAAGGAGGAATTTGTTAGAAAAGTTCAGAATTACGTGTTACCAACTTTTTATTCTGACTTGCTCTTCACTCTTTGGCACCAACTCACCGTTTAATAGTTCATAATGATTAGCGATTTTTCAGGTGACTGAATGGTGCAACTTTTATTGGAATTGCTTTTAATATCGATTAAAAAGTTTTATAATTACAGTTACAGAATACATATGATAAAAATTCTCGTACCCAACAAAGGCCAGAAAAGTCCCGCCTTACTTCCGTGACTGAATTAAAATTTCAAAAGAGCAGCAGCGTCAAGAATATCGAATTTCCAACTTACACCAACAACGTAGTGAAAGGTGATGAAAATGTAAAGCTACTGCAGCATATTACAGATTTTCATAACTCTCTGATCCCTCTGGAAGAGACAATTTTATTTTCGCCTTTCTCTCAGATCGTTTCACCTCCTTTCATCTGTCGGTATTAATTTTCAATTTTGTTCCAGAATTAACGAAAACTACATATCTTTATTACAAAATGATATAAAAAAACTTTTGGTGAAAAACGGGACAATTTTAGGAATTCTGTCAGTTGTTTTTGTCAAAACTTCCTTGCAGTTCATTAAAGCCTTCAGGATCAACCCGAAATCTCACGCTGCTCAACCGTCAACCGAAGCTCCTATCGCCCTGCTAGCACCTCAAAAGCTTTTGTTGTCCCCAGGAGGGCGGTATCATCTGTTTAGAAAATCATCGGGCTACTGCAACGCATATATTGTCAATGCATTTTGATGATTCTAAAAATTAAAAGATTCATGATTAAGTTAGTTGTCCATTTCTTCTTTATTTCTATTTGAGTCGAGAATCAATTAAAAATACAAGTAGAATGAATTTATTCACTCACTTATTTTTATCCAGTATAGAAGCTCAAATAATCCACGCATAATGTCCTTTTGCATTGATTTTCGAATGGCGGGCGAAGAAGAGCAGCCACACATGTGTACTGAAAGCAAAATCTTCGTCATCAGCCGCAAAAGCACTAACAGCAGTGGCACCAATATAGTGTTTGGGTTTTCAAGTGTGTAAAGAATAAGATAGGATCAAAACACGTCTGTCCTTATCTTCTTAGAAGATGAGAAACAAGACAAGCAAACTGTCTTGTCTTCGCGGCTCCACCTAGTACATATTCAGTGACCATTTTGAGAAAGGGTTCCTGCTGGTCGAAATTAAGACGCTTTTGCCAAGAGTATTTAGGTACATAAACCTTAGATTAAAAAAAAAGTTTTTCACCTTTTCTTTAAACGCCCTTTTCAAAATTAAATCGATAATCGAACTTCTTGCTTCAAATAGCGTTATTGTTGCAGATTTGTGTAAATTGTCGGACCTACTAGGACTGCCACGATCAAACTACTTTGCTGAAGTAGTCGACTAAGTCGGAGCGAAACAGTAGTTGAAAATTATTTAAGCTACTTTACCTCGTTGTGCTGTATGGTAAAAGTTTTACCTGACACACAAGAAATTCTAATTTGTTGTCCATCAAATACAAAAACTTTTAATTATTTTTCAGACTTTTTCAACTTTATAGCAGGCAGCCGACCCAAGGGAGAAAAAAACTTTCTTTGATGAATATATTCCTCAATTTATATAAAAATCGCTACAGCTTGAACTTTTTCAGTTCTTAACGCCAACAGTCTTAATTTCAAAATATGTAACCTGGTTGAATTCAATAATGAATTTAATAATGCTTAATGAATCCAATAAATTTGTATCCGTTTGGTATGCTTGACAGCTGAATTTTGAAGTGGAATATATTTTAATGTGCATCAAGCAGCAAAAAGCCAAAATTTAAGTCAAAACAAAATTTACTAAAGAAATGTGTTTCCGACTTAAAAAAGTCTCCTGCAGAGACTTTGCTCTGCGAAACTGGAGCGCTTCTTTGGTAGATACAGAAGACAAAGTTATAGGAAGTAAACCGAATCGAAAAGTGATGCATTAACCTCATATGGATTCTTACACTCTCCGCAATCCTGTTACTTTGTCAGTCAAACTTTCATTGTCACAGCTCTTCAAATATAGTAAACACTGATGATAACAGCACATCTCAGATGTGATTTTTTGCTTCAGATTTTCTTCTCCTGTCTGCGCACTTACAGTAATAACTGGCTGCATCAA